CTGTTGTTGTCATTGTTATGAGTGAATTTCCAATTGAATGCTGCATTTTAATAACATAAACATACAATGTTAGTGACAATTTTAGGAAAAAATGGCGGCCATTTTGAAACTGCTGGCAACTCCCCTTACGTATGAAAAAAAAAATGTTGCACATACTTTTTTGATTTATCAATGTCTACTCTACATCATATCCAATTTTTAAAAAATATAGCAAAAAAAAATGCAACCTCTGATATTGCTACATTTCGGACTGGACTAAATGACGCGAATTTTGAAACGATATAAAGCAGAAACGGTAACAAAATTGCCGTTCTAATCAAGGAGGTATAAAAATAATAACTGTTATACCTCCATAATGTTAAGCCCCGCCTCTTAAATATTGTTTCTAAGGTCCCACCAGCGCCGACATCATAGCTGTAAGTTACGGCGCCCATGCCTTAACCGCATGGCCATCCAACTCGCCGGAACTCGCACATAAACACGTGTGCGTTTGTGGGACAACATGACAGTGTGTGTTTGTCGGACACGGGCCTTTTCCTGGCACTATTTTTGATTGGCCAGTTGTTAAGTTTGATTAACATTAAATTCAAAGTATTTCGAATATTGAAGTTTAGTGTTCATATTTTCTTAAACAGCTAACATGTATATATCACAGTTAACATTAAAATAATGAATGATAATAATGCCAATTTATATTTATTTATGTACATATATAAGAATGTATATATATATATATATATATATATATATATATATAATTTCAGATTTTATTTAAATTTAGAGAAAACCTTGATACGAATGTGCTGTCAGGCGTTAGGTCTATATCTCCACGAGATAGACGGGAGAAGATGACGGATCGCCTCTGGTCTCATTAAATTCATCTGATGAAACCTTAGGGTGCGGGCATAACACAACAAACGTACGGTTTAACTGAACACAGGTTAACGATTTTGTTTAGTTTTAGCGATAGAATTATCTTTATATTATTAGCAAATAAGCATAGGTTTTCAGACCGGTTCTTGGATATTTTTCTTGATTTAATGGATATAAGTGTGTTACGGTACTTATTCCCTTGAACTTCTCACCTTTAGTTGCTTTCTGGGCGTCTGCTTGAATGGAGGCGCTGAGAGAGTTCCTGTAAGAAAAAGAAATGTTTTTATAAATACATAGCATATCTATACAACAGTATCATTATAAATAGTCTCCGCCTAAATAAAGACGACCCCCTCTAATTAAGATCACATGTTTTGCCACCCCCACACTAATTCTATAAAAGTTCAGTCACTCCTACCTGTGCTATATAGTACACTGGTCCAATACCCGTTTTGGTTTGAAAGAAGAAAGAATGTCACCATCACAACCATAACAATCCCCGGCAAAGTAACAGACAGAAAGCGTCCGTTCATCCGCTTCGTCTGAGACATCTTGGAAATTCCAGATCTACAGAAAGAAAAGAGAAATGGAAAATAGATAATATCGTAAAGAAAGTCAACGGTTAATAGCTAGAGTTAATTATTGGCAACGAATTAAACCACCTATACAGTGGCGTGTCTATGAGCCATGAAATGGAGGAGGCTGATGGGGGAGATGAAGCACCGGGAGTGGGGCTCGATGAAGAAACGCTCGCAAAATAAAGTGATATGGGGTTATTTTTAATCACTTGAGCGTGATTCTTTTGTTTTGAATATTTTACATTTTTGGGGAGGCGACTGGGGACGTGTGCTTTTTTGGGGGAGTGGAAGGCACCCCCTAGATACATCATTGCACCTAAACGTATATTCAGACTCCCTCAAGACGCGAGGAGAAGTAAAGTGGTTGTTGTATTATATAACATTGTATTTACTAAAAATTTTGAAATATGATTGAAAGTTGCTGCGCGCAGCAGCTTTCCGGCTCAAATCTAAGGAAGCGTTGCATCATTGGTGACAGCCGTCAGTAAGACCATTGATAAGATTCGGTTTCAAATCGAGTTGAAGTTTCCTTCAGTCCAGTTTAGATTCCTAGGCCTATTTATGAATAGATAGGATAGGTAAATCTTATTTATAGCATGAAACTTATCAGGATAGATTTCGTTAGAACGCTTGAGTTATTCATCCATGCGCTAATCAAATCTTTGAAAAATCTAGAAGTAATCAGTCACCATTCATATCTTTCCGTTTCAATGACGTTACGACCAGCCTTGTATTTTTACGCCCAAAGCGACTTAATATCTTTTGTCTGGTGCGTTTGCTTATTTAATAATGCGTTTTAGATGGTTAATCGCACCATCGTTTTCTCACGAATATAACAAGAACCAAAGTAATCACTACGTTCAGAGAGTGCATACCTCCGTTAGGGAGGTATACAATTTTTATACCATCTCTGCCTCCGTCAAGTGGGCGAATACACAATAATAATAAAACTAGTTGTATGATTATTCATTTTTTAAGTAATTATTATTGATATGATTTTGCAAATTTCTGTGACCTTGACATTTGACTTTTTCCTCTCAAATGTTATCATCTAATACTTAGACCCATATCTACCCCTTCTCTAAATGTTATGATGTTCTATCCATTAGTATCTGCACAATCCTGCTAACAAACGAACCGACATTACGACAACAAACAGCAACGAATACATAAAATATAAATGTTAAAATTGATATAGCAAATTTAACTTACAAGGGCATAAGAGCACCGTTTCAGGAAGAATATTATGGTGCTACCATCTAGATGGCACATGCTACGTAATTACATGGGTAGTCTGCGAACCTGTTAATAAACATTCCCGTTTACCACTTTCGTTGTTTCAAGTCCACTCTTGTTATTTCTATTGAACATTATTGATGTTTCGCATTTTCGGTGCTGTGACTTAACAGCTTGCCTTGTCTCCACCATATTATGTATTCTCTTTTCATAACAAAGTAATGTCAATAATTATCATAACCTCCCTTCTGTGTTTGTCTGTTAATCTAAAGATCTGCAAACAATTTTTACTCAACTAAATATGGAATTCCAAAAACCATAGATGCTTCCCTACTGTCTTGGATACCGGACCCTCGTACACCGGAGGAAGATACAATTCCATTCAACACAAGCAGTATCCGCCCAAAAGACATTCGCAACGTTTTAAAGCGCAAAAGTGAAAATTCAGCTCCTGGCCCTGACGGTATCTGCTACGGCTTACTGAAAAAACTCTCTTGTACTCACCACTTTCTAGCCACGCTATATAATAAAATTCTGGAAACTGGACAACCAGTGCCAACTTGGACAGATAGCAGAGTTACACTGATCCATAAAAAAGGTGCAACTGACTCCCCATCGACTTTTAGGCCTATCGCATTATCATCATGCACTGGTAAAATATTCCATATTATCCTAGCTAACCGTCTGGAAGACTTCGTGAAGCAGAATAAACTCGTTAATACGGAATTGCAAAAAGCTTTTCTCAGAGGAATCAACGGATGTATTGAGCATAACACCGTTGTTCATGAGCTCATCAAACATGCTAAATCCAACTCCCGAACAATTCACTTTACGTTTTTTGACTTGGAGGACGCCTTTGGTTCGGTGCCTCATAACTTGATTAGTCTCATACTTGATAGATCTAATGCTGACCCTTGTTTTAAAATTTACATTAATAATTTATATGCCAATATCTCTGGGTACGTTAAAACAAAGGATTGGCAATCGGATGAATTTAAATTTCGTAAGGGTATTTTTCAGGGCGATCCCTTATCTCCCCTTATCTTTATTTTGATTTTCGACCCCATTATCCAGGCATTGGAATTGGAGCTTTCCCACGGCTACAATATGGATGGAATGAATCACATCACAACTCCATTTGCAGATGACTTCTGCTTAATAACTGGTAATAAGAAAACACACCAAAGATTAATTAATAAGATATCCACCTTTACTTCGTCAATGGGACTTAAACTAAAACCATCCAAATGCAAATCTCTCTCTATTGTCCGTGGGAAAGCTTCAAATGTGCCGTACACTCTAGCTGGTAGCACTATTGCATCAGTTCAAGACGAACGTCATAAATTTTTGGGCTCCATTATATCATTCCGTAATACCGAGAATGAAGTCTTCCAATATCTTAAAGAGATAATTGAGAATAATCTTAAAGTAATCGATAGTTCTCTTGTTAGGTCTGAATTCAAAGTCAAAATTTATTCCAATTACCTGCTATCTAGTTTAAGATTTCATCTGACTGTTAACGATATTTGTAAAACTCAGCTTCATAAACTTGATTCTCTCAGTAGCAAGTATATAAAAAAATGGGTTGGTTTACCTAAACCCGGTACATTATCGTTTATCCATATGCCATTAGGGCTTGACATTCCCAGAATTTCCGACTTATATATCGAGAGTCATTCACTTGCCCATGTGTCTTCTCGAATTAAGGGGGGTCCCCAGGTTAATCATTCTATTGACTGTAGACTCAAGAGGGAATGTAACTGGAAGAATACAATTTCGCTAACCAGTAGGTCCGAAAATCTCTTCCTTGAGGCAAAAAACTCAGAGCCCAGTCCTTCTCTCCTCCGTACTAAAACAATTGTTAAGAACAAACTTAGATCTGATATCCAAGAATATTGGAACCGCCATGTGAAGGAGCTTCTGGTTCAGGGAAGATTTTATGACTTGCTTTCTCTTGAAGAAAGTTGTCATCACTGGAAGAGCTTCATATACAACCTGCCCAGATGAGTTATGAAATTCCTTACTAATGCTCTGGGGGATACGCTAAATAATAGGGTTAACTTGCACAGATGGGGAAAAAATATTTCAGAAAAGTGTATGGGCTGCAATAACAGAGAGACTCTCTGTCATATTCTAAATTTTTGCTCGCGTTCCCTGGACCAGGGGCGCTTCACATGGCGACATAACAATGTTCTTAATTATATTTACAAGAATTTAAAAGATGGATTCAAAACTGTTAAATCTCCTCCGGTTATTCTTTGCGACCTCGTAGCCAGCGCCTCTGCTAATTTTCACTGCTCTACAATCCCAACTGAATGCATCCCAACAAACCTCATTCCCGATATCTGCCTTTATTGGCCCGACTTAAGAAAACTTACCATCATGGAACTCACTATTCCGTTTGATACTTCAATTGATGCTGCTCATAAAAGAAAGTTGAACAAGTATTCCCCTCTAGTTACGGACCTCTCAGACGCTGACTATGATGTCGAATTGATCGTTTTTGAGGTTTGTTCCCGGGGGTTCATTTCCTCTACAAATCTTCATCGTTTTAAATCTGTTCACGCCCTTTGTGGCAAGCCAGTACCATTCAAAGTGTTTCGTGATAACCTTTCAAAATTAGCAATAATATCCTCCTTTTCCATATTC